CTTTCCGCCGTCATCATTACACCTTACTTGATTCATAACTCTAAGGAGGTAGGTAAACTTCCACCAAACACTCTTCCACAGGCAGATAACCCTAAACTACACCAATTGGACGTCTTGCAGAAACATATAAATGTTGAGACAGAGAATATTCATCGCAGAGCCTGGTGGGATTTCTATTGGTTTAACAACCTCATGACTACTAGGTGGTATATTCAATGATGTCCCTGGATTTTATTCTATCCTAGGTACTTTGGAAAAATATATTTAAGTTGACTCAACCCAAAATGTGAAGGAATGCTCTCTCATAGATTTGTAAAGAGAAACGAAAAGAAAGAAAGAAAGAGAAAACACTAAGAATGATATGTAGGTACTTACAGAATTACAAGCAAAACTGCAATGCTGACATATATAAATAGACCTAAAATCATCATAATTCCACCAAAAAAAAAGAAAAGGGCATTATTGGGTGACCATCTCAATAAATAACCTATCACTTTAACCACCCTTGAGATACCACAGTCAAATCGGGTCTCATGGAAGCCATCTCTATCAACTCCCCAATAATCCTTCAGAAGCGCATGCCAAAGCAATTGACCGGTATAGGAGGACTCCCTGACTCCCTATTCATTCAACCAATCCCCAGGGAGGTTCTGACGAACTGACTCGAGCGCTGTATGTGAACGAGCTCGGACAAAGAGATCCATGCCAGATGATGCCAGAAGAACATCATCTCCAGTGAACCAACACGCACTTTCGGGAGTATAGCGATTAAGGCCCCCTGGAGAAGGGAGCTTTGTATAAAGTTTCTCAAGTATTTCGAGCATCTCATCGTCGAGACAACAATATTCAGTCGGCATCCTTGGGTCATGCAATGATTCCCACATGATCAGATCAATACAGGCAAGAGAGAACCGTCCTAACCAGGGCTCCCACTTCTCTGCCGTTGTGTCCTCCATGTAGTCACAACTGTACACAGGCGGATCCGGGTTCTGGAGGTCTTCTACTAGAATACCCCATCTCAAGGCGCCCTGGTTCTCATGCCTAAAGGTCAACGCCCTATTGTCAAGGTAAAGGTCCATTGGCCCTAGCAAGCGTTCTTGGTTGCGAGTAAGATCCGAACGGCGACCAAAAAGTGTATATGCCTCCTTGAATGCAGCGGGCAGTGTAAGACCCAGTCGCTCTTGCGCAGCTAATAAATCTGCCCCCATCCATCCATCACCCTCCTCGAGTGGAGTCACCCAATAGGAGGCAAAACTGCGAATAAAGGTCCAGGTTTCATTCCGGCCACGAATGGCTTGACTGATGTGCTCACAAAGATCGAGGTTATTACTCATTTTAAGCTTCAATTCTCTGGCATTGAATATTGAGGGACTTCCAAATAAAAATGAGACTGATAACAATAGAAAGGAGGTATGGCCAAGTTATTTGTTCACTCTTTTGAAAAATAGTGCAGGAAAAGAAAAGGGGGCACATCAGTTGTTGGCCTGGGGATCTTCATTTTATACGAGTCGACAGCTTTACCACCTTTATCCTGGCCCCACTTGATAGTTTCTGGAACGAGATTTGAGCAGGTAGCTCGCTTCGTGTTGAGGAGAGTCAAATGCCAGGAAATTTGGGGACTACTAGAACGGTGGTTAACCCATGGCGTGAATAAACCAGCCTTCGGACCACTAGGTATAAGCAAACTCCCTCAGCACAATTACATATCTTTTTAATACAAGACTTACCTCATATGCAAGCGGAAAAAAATACCAACATACAAATTATATCATAGAACCTTTAGTGAAGGTTATAGTCCAAGTACGAGTGCATAATCGTCTCTAATAAGCAGCCCTATACCGCACTTCGGTGGCGTGGGGATGCTTCTTAAATACGGCGAGGTGTAGTTAACTCGGAACCGGATAGGATGACCCCAATGATGGTTAGTTGGTTATATTTGTAGGATCATGAGATAGACTTGAGATTGTCTTTTTTTTTTTTTTTAAATAATAATAAAGCCAGTAATTAGCCAGAAATGACTATGTAATAAACCATATATCTCAAATAGAGGAAATATCAAATAAAAACAGTGCAGAGCAACTGAAATACTGGCTGATATTTTCGAGGGGATTAGCTTGCTATTCATAGAGCGCTTATATGAAAATATCTATTACCTAATGGGACGGTAGATCAGTTGGGAGATCGTTCGACTGAAGATAACTTCAATCAGTCCATCGGAAGGTCCCTGGTTCGATCCCGGGTCGTCCCATTACTTTTTGTTTTTGTTTTGGGATCTCAAAAACACATCCCTCCATCCATCCATTCATTAAAATGAGAAACGAGGAGGACAAGACTAGATACAATGCAGCAAAGTAGAGGGGAGTCCTCAATTTGCTATCCTGTGTGTGCATTGACATCGGACCCATCCCACCAGCAAATCCAAATATCCTGGAAAGCTCGGAGATGTCCCCTTCTGGCTATGGATCGTTCGTTATAAGTCCTTTTGGTCGGATCGGGGATCGACGGACACTGAATGATCAACTGTTGCAGGAGACTGGCGATGTACTTGGCAGTTGATTGCTGGCTAAACTCTTCGTAGTCGCAGTAGATACCGACCACGGCCATGTCATCGTCGTCCTTGGAAGACACTCGCAGACAATCGAGAGCTATCGATGCAAAATAAGTATTTCCTGCTCCAGAAACCCCGGGACACCACATAATTTGCGAAGAACCCCTTTCCCACTCCACAAATCGGTCATCATTCAACAACCACTGCCCCGTGCCTTCTTGATGTCGGGCAAAGACGTCCAGGTGCTTGGCTGCAAAGTTGAGCGGGGACAGCCATCTGATAATCTCGCGCATTTCCTCGTTCCGGTGTTGGTTCTCTAGCGCTTCCACCTCCTGGTGTACTGCACGCGATAGTTCTACATGGTCTGCATGGGGGGTCAGTTCACACAGATTCTTATATCTTTCCAGCATACCTGCCTTCTGGATTGGCCATCTGAAGGCTTTGCCTACTTTCTTGAGCCCTTTCGCCGGAGCGAGAATGTCCTCTAGTCTCATAAGAAGCGCCGAATAATTATTGAGTGGTTCTTCCAGCATCCGTGTGTTGGCCATAGTCTCACCGTCATCATCTGGAGTCCCCTGTCCGACATTCCACAACATATCTAATATACCCTTTGTCACACTCATCTCTAGAAGCCGGGTGTCTCTGTACCCGGCTGCATCTGCAAACTCCCGCGTGTATTCAGCCGCTTTCGTTGAAGGCTGGATGACTGCGATGATACTCGCAGTGATCGACAGAGGGCCGGCCATAACGCGTCACAAGCGGAGTCCTAAGCGAAAGTGTAAGATGAATGAAAGAGAAATTCCCCTTTATCCCCCTTTATCCCCCTTCCTCCCAACGTGTGTTCCAAGGCAGGGCTGAGGCTGTCCCATGGGGCTCGAGAGCGTCGTTGGATGGTAACTCGGTCTAGCCTGGCGGGGGCGTCGGCCATTGTCATAAGTTGCACGCCGCGAGTGGGTAGTCATATATACCCTGGGTTGTATATTCAATAGCTGCTATAGAATTGTTAACTGAGTCCTATCGCTTATATCTCCATCGGGTGTTTCGCCCTCGCAATAAGGGGGTACTCACTCCCAAAATAGCCCACTTTATTCACGGCCGGTTCGCTTCCTCCCTGATACCGTGGAGGTTGATTATCAGACTCCCTAGAGGAGATATTTCCCGCATTATGAAATGATTGTTCTTTGCTGAAACAGGGGACGATCATCACCAAGCCGATGGCTAGTACTACTAGTACTGTATGAAGCCGCGCTGAGGTCAGGCAATCAGGATAACGTGATCGATGCAGGAGGAGGATTCACAACCAGCACCAGATGAAACCAATTGAGATATTAAAAAACGCCAATGGAGGTTTACCAGGTTCTATCCACTACGGTCAGTTCAAGACAGCATCTTATCAACTTCTATATTGAAATCATAGAGGCATATTCTGCATTTCTGCTTTCTGATGCATGGATTCAGATTCTTTAGCGACAACAGGAAAAAATAAGTTAGTATAGACTGGGATGTGTTCTTGTTATGTAGGCAGCTTCTCATGTGGAAAGGTTGTCGTCGTCCAAACCTGATCACGAATGACCTGGTAGCTTGGAGCTATATAGCATAATATTGCCCATAAACATTATCTAATGGGACGGTAGATCAGTTGGGAGATCGTTCGACTGAAGATAACTTCAATCAGTCCATCGGAAGGTCCCTGGTTCGATCCCGGGTCGTCCCATTATTTTTTTGTCAATTTCTTCAGAAGCTTTGTTTGTCCTGCCTGGTTATATATATTTAATGAGTTAGTTAGTTAATCAGTGATATTCAGGCATAACATTGATTATATCTAGAAGTTTTTATATGGAAAATAACATGGGTGAATTCTAGCCTCTATCATAGCCATATTACAGAGTCTATGAGAAAGAAATCTGCTTAAAAAATTACCATCATGTGTTGGTCGACTGGACATGCATTTCTGTAGGTACATTTTTATCTACCAATAATAACTCAACAATAGTTAATAAATATACCTACCTACATCCATAAATTAAATAGAGGCCGAACAAGTAAAACAAACCTACACCTCAAGCGTTAGCTTGTTATTGTAGGAGGGCAGATGGGAGAGTCCTGGTAGGGCGAGCTCGGCCAACTAAAGAATGCCTGAGGTTCGTTCACCCGGTAGTTGGTTTCATCTAATTCTACCCGCTCCCATACTTGCAGCCCTAGAGGTTGCAAGTTCCAAAGGGCCCGGAAGAAGAAGAAAAGAGAAGAAGTTGTCTATTTATGAAGCCGCTCGCCGGAAGCCTTAAACACATGCGTTGGCTCACCTAGGAAAAACATGAAGGAAACAAGAAAACAGCCCACTGGCAGCAGGCCCGTTTCTATATACAATAAATACCACCACCAACCAGTAAGTATCACTTACTTCACTATGATCTTCGAAGGCGGGAAAAACTTTACAAGCAAAAAAAAATAATGGGACGACCCGGGATCGAACCAGGGACCTTCCGATGGACTGATTGAAGTTATCTTCAGTCGAACGATCTCCCAACTGATCTACCGTCCCATTAGATTAATCCTTATTAAAAATTAGTATGAAGGAGGCCTTGGTATAGGATGATCATGGTAATCTAGTATTTTCATACCAGTAGAGTAATTCCTACCAGTTGCATATACGTATGTTTCTATTAAATAAAGCGTTTAATAAGAGAAACTTCCAGTGTAATGCTAAACTTAAATACTATGCTTTTGAAGGGGTTATAGCTCAATTCTTTAGTATTATAGTGGAGTGTGCTCTTTTTCTACATGCATAAATCATCCTCGACAGCTTCTCTCTTTCTTTTTCGGATTAGAGTAGACACATGTGGATCACCTACATGCTGCTGCCTGATTTTCCTCAATACCACCTCCATAGTGGAAAAATGTGTTTTCCCGAGAAGTCTCCTTCGCACCGCAGGGTCTTTCTTAGGGTCAAAATCGTCATATGTGATCTTTGTCCAGAGCTTCGATAAAAAGCTGCTATGAATTGTTTCCCATTTACCGACTGGTTTGAAACACCGATCCTTTCCATTGCAACCTTTGCATCTTAGGCGGGGGATAACGAAGCGAGGTTGCTTTTCTATCGTCCATCGAGGATAGCCACATAGTTTTGGGCAACTACAACTCATGCATATTATCTGGACGACTTTAGGGAGTCCATCGAGTTCTTCTTCCGAGCGACAAAGAAATTGGTTGAAGTCACCGCGTCCCTTCACATTTGGGGGGTTCTCTAAGGCCTTTCGGATACCTCTTACATGTGGGTGCCACTCATCAATCGGGAGAAGATCTGTTCTGCCTTTGCATCCTGGTAGGCCGCATCCTCGATCCTCGAGTGTTCTCACGACGTAAACCGCCCGTTTTTCTCTTGCGAACTGAGGAAATGCATCGTCAAGCACTCTCTGTCCACAGGAAGAACATTTTCTCTGTATGACTTCACCACGTGCACCCGGTATAGTCAATTCTAGGATTATATGCCTCCTTTTGCGCGTAATAAACTCGATATACCCCCACCCCACCATGGCTGCTATTTCTCCGATCGGCGAAGTCTTGATAGAACCGGTATGAAGCGTTTGTTCGCCAAAGCCCAGTAGCCGAAAGACCTTCTCAATCCCCTCTCGGCAGCTTATTTGGTCTCCGCCGATCTTTAGGCCATCTTGGTTCTGGAGCCAGGCAATAAGTTCCATGGGCAGGTCAAACCAGTCGGAGTCCGCGACTGCAGGATTTTCAAGATTGCCTAATCTCTCCTTGGCCAAAGGGTCTAAAGGTAAGCTTTTATTGGAAATTCTTTGACTGACAGCGAGCCAGGACTTCGCCTGGTCTTGGATTTTTTGCCTCTGGATTCTCCAAAGCTCCTATGTTCCTTGTTAAACCAATGTGGTTACCTGAATTCCCCGATCTGAAACTTCACTTACCGAATCATCGTTTTCCATGCCAGTTTTCAGAGGACTTTTATGCGTCTCTATTTTTTGACTATTCTCTAGATCCCGCAAAATTGTCTGAATTTGTTGACTCTTTTCCTTTCTTTTGCTATCCATACGTGATCGCCGCTCTTCTTCTTCGTGTGCCTTTACTGGGAAAGCGGCTCTCAACTCTTGTTTTACAGACTCCATTAGGCCATTGCGAACTTCACGTTGTTGTTTTGTAAGTCGAGGATACTTGTGTCGTGGAAACTGCTCATATAAGTTGCCTTCTATAGACATGTCGACCATACTTGCAGCTAGTCCTAAAGCTGTATCCTGGACTATAGCCTGTTTGTTTTTGCTTTTGACTGTACCTGTTGGCCCGGGCTGGAAAAACCATTGAGGACCCAGAACACAAAGCGTTTTAGTTCGCTCCCGTTTTCTTCTAGCTCGAGATAGAGTCTGACATCCTTGTACTTTCCCCAGAGAGGAAATCGAATCAACTCAACTTGTTGTTCCACCTTCCTCCACGCAACTTCGCCCCAACATATCTCAACAATAGCGGACATGTGATGGCGGAGGTCCCGTACGAAGTCATCGTGTGGCTTTTGGACGTCTTCTGTCCAGAGATGAAGATATATGTGTGTATCCTCTCTGCGGCAGATTTGATCAAACATGAAGGAATTTCGAGACGAGAATCCGTTCTCTTGAAGTAGATAAATTGTTGGGCTGCTTGAATCATCAGTCTCACGGCTGTATGGATCTATCACATGAAAGGTGGGGTTTAGGAGATGGTGTGCGAGAGGAGCTGCGATAGATCCACTGGGATACAGAAGAAATTGTGCCGGCCGCTCAGAACAGCGTTGTCTCCAAGCTTGTGTCTCTTCGTGGACAAATTGGACAAATCGGCTTTGCAAATCCCAAATAGGTTTTGACCCTGTTCCTCCGCCGTAAGTTAGTACCCAACCATATGGAGGTTCTGATTTGACATACGATGCTGCCATTCGTTGTCCAGCGCCCGGATAAGGGGCATATATCGCCGCAAAATGTCATAGCCATCTTGATCCAAGAAATAACTTGGCTCCTCTAACCAAACATTGCCAAAAAACTTGAAGTTAGTAAGTGGAGTCTGAACGTTTTTCATGGTGGGATGGCAGTTAAACGACGAAGCTGAGACGCGAGAGGAGGGAAAAGCTGGAGAGTGAAAGATAGCTCCTGGATTGGTCCTAGAGAAACACCAGCTAAGATCACGGTCCAATATTTTCTAGCATATAAACTCTCGAGGTGAATTCACTGCCCGGAGATTAGGCCTCCGGACCTCGCTACCTAGATTGCCTATAAAAGCTGCGCCTTATCTCATTTTCCCTATATCTTGTATATTGGCTATCTTGTGTCTCATTGTACCAGCTAGCTAAAAGCGGCCTTCTACATGTAGCTAGACTATACCTACTAGGGATTATGTGCTGAAGTGAATCTATACGTACATGGATTCAATTCAAGCAATCAATTCTTAAAAGTAGAGTCCGGTTGAAATGGTTTGAGGAACTACCTTAAAAGTACGAGGCTTCTATTGAGGTCATCCATTAAAGAAACTCACCATCAATCCTTCTAATAGTTCCGGACAGCATACAGTAACGAAAACACGGCTATCAGGCTACTTATCGTGGCCACAAGCGTGCGAAATGGGGGTTTCTTTGCCGCCAGGTAATTTAGAAAAGTATCCTACCAGCAATTCAGAGCCCTTGCGGTGTATTCATATGGGTTGATATTATAAAATTTGGTCTATAATTATGTAGAAGAAAGAGAGTAACGTATATATACATAGGAACTAATGATCGTGATCATTCATGCATCCAAAACCCCATCATACTCAAGAACCCAAAATTTTCGAATAAGCATCCTCTACTTCAGTGGCAATCTCCAGAAGCGTCACGATAATAATCTGATGCGTGACATTAGGCAGTTTATCCCGCTGCAAGCCGATCCATTCCAGAGGCGGCGTAGCCTCTCCCATATCGCGCAGCTGGGGCGTCTCAATCACCGGCGGCTCCAACGCAATGTACGTGTATTTGGATTGCGGTACATTGACAACAGCTGTGATCTTCTCTTGCGGCTCACTCTTATCTCCCCCTGCCTCATTAAGCCCGCCAGTAATGCGCACGGCTGATGGCGGAAGGGGTTTTCCCAGTCGGGATGCTAATGCGCGAGAATGGGTCTCCCACATATCGCGGATGAAGCTGATACGAGAGTAATTCCATCCGACGTCAACCTTGCCTTCGAATGAGCTCCTGAATATATAATCAATTTGGTGCGTGCCCGGCGTTTGCCAGGTCTCCATTCCAGCGACAAGCCGGGGGACCTTGAGGATCGTCCCCCCACTTGATCCGAGCACACGGTTGGCAATTTCGCTGACAAGAAGTTCCTCGATTTCCATCCGATGGGGCCGCACGATATTAGACAATGCCACGCGGAGTTGGCCCAGAGTGAGCCCCAAAGCGCTGTGTATCTTGCCTTCGTCGAGGGTGACATCAAATCGGGCCTGGGCTTGGTTCGCCTCAATCTTGAACACATGGTTGTCGAAGAACGAGCTAGGGAAAACTCCGATATTGACAGCATTTATGGTCACAACGACTCCAGTCTGTAGGGAGATGGGTGCTTTCTCTGCCTTGTCTTCCAGTTTCTCGGTCAAAGTTTTGGACGGAACCTCTGACTTTTCAGGGAAAATCGATGTCCTCCGGCGCAGGTAACGCTCAACCTCCCGTAAAGAGGCCTCATATGCTGCTTGCTTATCTTGAACTAATCGCTTCCATGCCTGATATAGTGCAATGGACTGTGATGCTGTTAGGCTTGTACAAAACACTTGTACTTGATCTCCCTCCAAGATACTGAAGAGCCGTTCGGCACCTGAGGCGCTTCGAACATTGTACATCAAAAAATCAAACAATGTGATGTGGGCAATAAGAAAAGGTTGGTAGTCAAATGAAACCTTTACTTGGAACTCGTCGAAAGATACTGCGGCCTGGATCAAGGGCGTCTTGTTATTCGGGCGGTCATCTGGCCAATGAATCGAGGTCTGAACTTTCAAGTTGCGAAGTTCAATCAATCCGCTCATGCGGCCCTTGCTTTCTATCCCTGCCGTCCGGAAGCCGATGCATAGCGTCTGTTCCCAGTCGGATGACTTCTTCGATGACAGCCATAAGTCATTGATACCGAACATCGCCTTTCCAAGTGTAGAGCCCAAGTCAAGCTGAATTTCCAATCGCTCAATCGTAATTGCAGAGTTCCAAGGGAACGCAGGCGCTGACGCCACTTGCTGATATCGTTGTACCATGTAAGGTTGTGCCTCTGTGGATTGTGGTGGGAACGACGGGGTAGGCTCGTCGTTGTCGTCGTCATCATCATCATCATCATTTGAGGGCACCCAAATTTCGCGGAAAAGCAGCAAGTCTTGGACCTGTTTGGCATTAAGGATAACCTGCATCGGGCTAATCCGAAGAGCAGCCGATATGCCTTTTGCACGACCAAGGTGTTTGCTGTTGATTAGAGACATGACAATCGAATTGACTTCAAAGCTGGCAGTCGACTCGTTGGAGTAAACGTGCTTTACTGATGCTTGGAAAGAGTTGAA